GGGGAGATTTTCTTGGCACACTTTGGGCCTGTTAGTATCAATTGAGCATTGTGTCAACGCCACAGCCTACCTGAGCATTTTTGCTGACCATGTCCATCCCTTTAGGACCCCAGTGTCTCCATCTTCTGATGGCTACCTCCAGCAGGATAACGCACCATGTCATAAAGCACGAATCATCTCAGACTGGTTTCTTGAAAATGACAATGAGTTCACTGTACTCAAACGGCCCCCACAGTCACCAGATCTCAATCCAATAAAGCACCTTTGGGATGTGGTGGAATAAGAGATTCACATCATGGATGTACAGTCGACAAATCTGCAGCAACTGTGTGATGCTTTAATGTCAATATGGAGCAAAATCTCTGAGGAATATTTCCAGTATCTTGTTGAGTTTACACCACGAAGGATTAAAGCACTTCTGAAGGCAAAACAGGGTCAAACTCGGTGGTAGTAAGGTGTACCTAATAAAGTGGCCGGAGAGTGCATATGACTTTATATGGTCAAATACATTAGCTGTTATTTAATATATGTGTTCATATATTCAATACACCTATTATGGCCATATGTTTCTCATTTGCAAGCTGCCAAATGATTATATGTACAGTAATAACTACCAAATAAACAAAACAAATAGACTAAAAATGTAAAAATAAAACAGAATGTTTATTTATGCTACATGAATTGAATTTTGTCTTTATATGCAGATGGCTTTCTGTCAGGGTTGGGGACAGGATTGAGTATTAGGGATAGTCTTTGTCGAAGAAGTCTTCATGTAATGAGAAACATTAGGTGTGTGTGACTCACTGATGCACGGGGCGACGGGCGATCGACTCTGCTGATAGCCTTTAGCACAGCGGTTACAGGTGATGCCGGTCACTCCGTCTTTACACGGGCACTGACCCGTCGTCTGGTTACACGTCTTACCTGCAGCTCCCACCGGATGGCAGTCACATGCTGAAGAGAGAGAGAGAGAGAGAGAGAGAGAGAGAGAGAGAGAGTGATCAGCTCTGGCACACAAGCAGGATGGAGGTCCAAATAATGGCCTGAGTCCCGTCTGGAGCCGTAAACACTGCCATGACATTCAATCTGTCACACACACCCTTAATTCATCAGGGGTTGCCACAGCGGAATGAACCGCCAACTTATCCAGCATATGTTTTACGCAGCAGATGCCCTTCCAGCTGCAACTCATGACTGGAAAACACCCATACACTCATTCACACATATACACACCCAATTCACCTCTAGCGTATGTATTTGGACTGTGGGGGAAACTGAGGAAGCCCACACCAACACGGGGAGAACATGCAATCTCCACACAGAAATGACCCAGCCGGGGTTCGAACCAGCGACCTTCTTGCTGTGAGGTGACAGCGCTACCCATTGAGCCACCTCGCCACCCTTTGTATTTAATTTTCACACACACACATAAACACACTCGTATGCACAGACTCAGACAAACACATAGTCCAACATACACTCACAAACACTCTTACACTCAGACACACACACACACACACACACACACACTGCTCTATCTCATTTACAGAGTCAGATGGCTCAGTGCTCGATTACATTATGAGCTGTATTACAGGAATTACACATAGTAACCAAACTCACACACAACAACAAACAGAGTCACAGCATGGAAAACAGCTTTCATACACACCGTGACAGACTCCAGCGCTCACACTGGACTCACATTACAGTAGAAAAAAGACATTCGGACATTTGTTGTGCATGACTGTAAAAACTACTGCAAACAACAGTCAAATATTTTAAAGGTTGGCAACGATGGGCAATTAAAGGGACAGTTTGTTTAAAATGTCCATTCTGTCATTGTTTGCTCACTTGTTCCCGTCTCATTCTTTTCTTTATATTATTCTTTATTAAAAGAAGATAATTCGAAAAAAGCTGAAAACCTGTAAACATTGACTTCAATAGAAGGAAAATTGAATACTATGGAAGTCAATGGTTACCGGTTTCCAACATTCTTCTAAATATCTTATATTTATTTTATTTTACTTTTTTTTTAATTTAATTTAATTACATTTTTTTTTCTTTAATTTTTACTACTGTTTTATATATTTTTAATTTAAATTAATTATTTTTTATGGTATTTAATTTTATTTTAAATTTAATTAATTATATTTTTTATTTCATTTTATATTTTTTATTTTATTTTATTTAAAAATATATTTTATTTTATTTTTTTATTTTAAGTCATTTCTTATTTTATTTTAAATTTTATTTTTATTTGTATTTAATTTTTTATTTAATCTTATTTTATTTCATTTATTATTTAATTTCATTTTTAATTTAATTAAATTTTTTATTTTATTATTTAAAAATATATTTAATTTAATTAAATGTTTTATTTGATAATTTTTTTATTTTATTTTTTATTTTATTTTTTATATAATTTAATTATTTTTAATTAATTTTTTATTTAATTTAAATTTTTCTTTAATAATTTTTTTAAAAAAAATTTATTTTATTTCTTTAATTTTTTTATTTAAATTTTTTTTAATTTTATTTTTAAGTTTACATTTTTTTTATTTAATAAATTTTTTTATTGAATTGAATTGAATTGAATTTTTCTTTAATTTTATTTTTTCTTTAATTTAATTTTATTTTATAAATAGAAGAAAGATAGTGATAAAGGTATGGAACAAGTAAAGAGTGAGTAATTAATGTCAGAATTGCAATTTTGGGGTAACAGGGCAGGAGTGTTTAAAAAGAAATGTAAAAATGTATAAATAAATAAAGTGCTGGTATACGATTGAGGTGACTTAGAGCAGATAAAATAATGTTAACTGTTGTGTTAAATATGAAATAACATTTTGTTTGATCACGTCTACAATTGCTATGTGTACTGACTCAAGAATGTGCGTTTCCTTTCTGTGTCGAGACTCTCAAACACACACACAGATACAGACTGAACAGCTGAGGAGGCTGCAGGTGAGAGCTGGAAGATCCAGAGACTGAGCTGTGACTTCATCTGTGTGTGTGTGTGTGTGTGTGTGTGTGTGTGTGTGCGTGTGTGTGTGTGTGTGTGTGTGTATGTGGAATGTGCGGAATTCTCAGGTGCTGTATCGCAGTAACACTGATACGAGGTCTCAGCACTCAACATGGACGTTATCAAATTAACACTGGCAACACAACAAAAGAGCTCCTGACTTATACTCGCACACACACATGCACACTTATACACTCATACCTAGACACACACTCCTACTCACACACACACACACACACACACACACACACACACACACATACACTCATACTAAGACGCACGCAGGCACGCACATACACACACACATTCACGCACGCACGCACACACACACACACACACACACACACACACACACACACACACACACACACACACACACACACACACACACACACACACACACACACACACACACACACACACACACTCACTGTCCCTATGTGTTGTGATTTCTTTGACCTGTCTGGCCTGCCTTGACCAGGACTCTTTGGTAGACGAGATTTTGTATCTTTATGAGATTTTCCTGTGTAAGTAGGTAGGTAGGTAAGTAAGTAAGTACAAAAGTATGTAAATAAATAACTAAATAGGTAAGTAAATAAGTAAGTAAATAAGTAAACAAGTAAATAAGTAGGGAAATAAGTAAAAAGTATGTAAATAAATAAGTAAATAAGTAAGTATTTGAGTAAATAAGTAAACAGGTTAATAAGTGAATAAATAAGTAAATAATTAAGTATATGATTAAATAAGTAAACAAGTTATTAAGTAAATAAATAAGTGATCAATTAAGTAAATAAGTAAATAAATAAGTAAATAATTGAAGTAAACAAAGGTAAATAATTAAGTAAATCAGTAAAAAATTAAGTAAATATTAAGTAAATAAGTAAGAAAAAGTTTGTAAAGAAATAAGTAAATAAGTAGGTAAATAAGTAAGTATATAAGTAAATAAATAAACAAACAAATAAATAAGTAAAAGTATCTAAATAATTAATTAAATAAGTAAAAAGTATGTAAATAAATGAGTAAACAAGTAAATAAATAAGTAAATAAGGTAAAGTAAATAAGTAGATAAATAAGTAAAAAGTATGTAAAAAATTAAGTAAATAAGTAGGTAAATAAGTAAATGAGTAAACAAGTAAATAATTAAGTAAATAAGTAAACAAGTAAATAAGTAAATAATTAATTAAATAAGTAAGTAAATAAGTAAATAGATAAGTAAATAAGTGCATAAGTAAATAAGTAAACAAAATAAATAAGTAAATAATTAAGTAAAAAGTATGTAAATAAGTAAAAGTGTGTAAATAATTAAGTAAATAAGTAAGTAAATAAGTAAATAAATAGTTAAATAAGTAAACAATTAAGTAAATAATTAAGTAAACAAGTAAATAAATTAGTAAACAAATAAGTAAATACGTAGGTAAATAAGTAAAAATTAAATCAATAAGTAAGGAAATCATTAGGTAAATAAGTAAATAGATACGTAAATAAGTAAATATATAAGTAAATAAATGCATAAGTAAATAAGTAAACAAAATAAATAATTAAATAAGTAAGTACATAAGTATATAAGTAATACTACAACAATCAGGTAAATAAGGTCAATTAAAAATCAGGAAAATAAGTATATGAGTAAATAATTAGGTAAATAAATAAGTAAACAATAAAATAAAATAAAAATTAAGATTAAATAAACAAATGAATAAATACATAAATACATACATACATACATACATACATACATACATACATACATACATACATACATACATACATACATACATATATACATACATAAATTGATCAGCTTTGGGAAGCAGAGGTTTTGCACTGCCTGTAATTCAACGTTATAGAAAACCCTCCACTTACTTATATCGACTTTTCCCTCCAGAATTTCTCGACTTACAAGAAGAGGGATGTTTTAATGCGCGCAGCCTCTGATGTGTGTTTTCTTCCCCGGCTGTGTTTGCTTTGGCCGCAGTGACGG